GAGACAGTCAAAAAAAAAAAAGTAACATAAGAAGGGTGGGGGGGGGGGAATCAAGAAAATTGCAAGGTTCTGATCCAGAGAATTGCTAGGAATTGCACCTAATTTAGGAAGGTTTTGACATATCTTTTATCAACTCTGCACAAGATCCGAAAGATTTTTTATTTGCATTTGCTGTTTTATTTAATTACATAGAGAATTTATATCTCTTTTATTTAGAGAAGTTATATTTATAGCCTCCCACTTTCAATGACTGTAGGCGGTTTGCAAAAGCGACAGGCTTTCTTGGGACAGCCGAGCCACACGAATCCATGAATCTTTCCCCGATTTTATGGGGAGACTTGTAGTCCTTGAGATATGACCAAAACTGGGATCACAACATCCCAGTTTTGGTCATAACTTCACGTCACTAAGTGAAGCAGTCATTAAGCCAGTGTTTCTCAACCTTGGCAACTTGAAGATGTCTGGACTAAAACTCCCAGAATTCCCCAGCCAGCATTCGCTGGCTGGGGAATTCTGGGAGTTTTAGTCCAGACATCTTCAAGTAGCCAAGGTTGAGAAACACTGCATTAAGCATTTCAGGAGGCTTTTGCCACGGTCATTAAGTGAATCGCGCAGTCGTTAGCTGTCCTTGGCTCCCTGCATTGACTTGGCTTTTCGGAAGATCCCTGGGAAGATTGCAAATGGGGATCACGTGATTGCAAGATCCTGCGACAGCCATAAATACGGTACATGCCAGATGCCAAACCCCTGGCTTGCAGTCAGGTGAGACCGTGAGGATACAACAACGGGGGGGGGGGGGAGAATGAGGACCAGTCCTAAGTAACCTTTTTCAATAAGAAGCCCCCTCTCTTCCAGCACTGATGATGTTAACTATCTGGGTAATGAAACGTCCACATGAAAATGACGAAGCTCAGAGGGCACCAAGGACCCCGTAGTTCTCCTCCTCTTCCTCCCCCTCCTTCCCCCTCCCTCCTCGTCCATCAAGTCTTCTCCATCATCATCATTCCTCTTCCTCCTGTTCCCAGCAAACACCACTCCTTTCTTGCACTGATAATGTTACCTAGCTGGGTCATGTAATGTCTGCAAGAGGAAAATAAGCCTTCAGTACCAGGGATACTATAATTCTCCTCCTCCTCCTCCTCCTCCTCCTCCTCCTGATGTTACCTAGCTGGGTAATGAAACACCCACATGAAAACCACCAAGCTCAGAGAGCACCAGGAACCCCAAGGATTAAACTTTGGTGAACTCCCTTTGGAGAAAGCGGGGGGGGGGGAGGCACTCCTCTGGGAAGGGGCTCTGCGCTGACAGCAAGGTCACCTACAACTTCTGAGCAAAGCCTTCCATACAGATTGGGCTGCCCCCTTGCCCCACCCAGCCCAAGGGGTCCCTGCCTCCCTCCTGCGCCTGCCTNGGGAATTCAGGTTTAATGCGGGGGCCTTGACGTAGGGGGTCCCCTCTGGGCGAGAGGGTCGCCTTAGAAATCCCAGAATTAATTCAGAAAGGTCGGGAAACGCGAAGCGCAAGCGGCGCGGCCAGAGCGCACGGGCCATCGCCGCGCCAGCATCCCCCCGCGTGCGCCCAGGGCGCATGGGAACCGCCGCTGTTTTTCCGGGGATCCAGACAGGTGGAAGGCAGACAGGTGTGGCTTGAGGCAGTTGGGTGGGCTCAAGAAGGTGGTCGTGTAGAGAGCCCCCTCCCAACGGCCAGCCTTCTGGAGCAAGCTCGGCTTGGAGAGCGGGGTACCCCTTCTCCACCTCTCCAAACCCTTTCCCAAAAGCGCAGCGTAAAGTCGGCGGGTTATTAAACGGGCTGGAGAGCCAGCTAGGAGCGGCGACGAAATCCGGGGGGTGGGGGGAGGGGAGGGTGAATCGACCCTTCTTCTAACTAACCTTACGCGAGGCAGTTTTTTTTTAAAAAGCAGAAGTGCAGGAAAAGGAAAGTTTTCCTAAGCGACAGAGTCCAAGGATCTTTGAGTGGGAGCCCCATCCCTGGAGGCTTTTCAAGAAGAGACTGGACTGCCCATCGGTCAGACATGGTGTAGGGTCTCCTGCTTGGGCGAGGGAGGGGTTGGACTAGATGACCTCCAAGGTCCCTTCCAACTCTGTTATTCTGCTATCCTTCCTTCCTCCCCCCCCCACTGGAAATTTTAAAGAAGAGACTGAGCAGCCATCTGTCAAACATGGTGTAGGGTCTCCTGCTTGAAGAGGGGTTGGACTAGATGACCTCCAAGGTCCCTTCCAACTCTGTTAATCTTTTAAAAGGAAGAGCCAGGTTAGGGGCCTCTCCTATTCGAGCAAAACTCTTAGATAATCGTGAAATGAGATTCTTTTCGAAGGCAGAGGGATGAAAATATCTCTTTAAAATATTCAGCTACTTCCCTGCAGGAGAAGCTTTTCATTTTGCAAGTTGAAGAAATAAAAGGAGGGGGGTTGGATTTTTACTCCGGAGAAATTTGATGGGCTTTCCACTGATTGATTTCAAATAATGTGATAGATAACTTCCATTTCTGCCCATTTTGTGGTTTTAGAAAAAAAGGGGGAGAGAGTGTGGGGCAGAGAGAATGTTTGTGTGTGTGTGTGTGTGTGTGTGTGTGTGTGTGAGAGAGAGAGAGAGAGAGAGAGAATGAAAGAGACAGAGAGAAAGAGAGAGAAAGAGAAAGAGGGAGAAAATGAGAGAGAGAGAATGAGAGAGAGAGACAGAGAAAAAGAAAGAGAGAAAGAGAGAAAGAGAGAGAGACAGAGAGAGAGAGAGAGAATGAAACAGAGAGAGAGAATGAGAGAGAGAGACAGAGAAAAAGAAAGAGAGAAAGAGAGAAAGAGATAGAGACAGAGAGAGAGAGAGAGAATGAAA